ATGATCAGGCTTATAGGGGAGCAGTTAGGGGCCATCAGGCAGGCAGGCAGAGGTGGTTAGGGGTGATCAGGCAGGCAGAGGTGGTTAGAAGCGATCAAGCAGGCAGGCAGAGGGGTTAGGGGTGATCAGGCAGGCAGGCAGGCAGGCAGGCAAGCAGTTAGGAGCCAGCAGTTCCGGCTTGTGAGAGGCAGTCAAACATCCCCTGAGGGGTCCCAGATTGGAGAGGGTGCAGGCCGGGCTGAGGGACCCCAGCCCATGCATAAACTTCATGCACCAGCCTGTAGTATATTTATACATTATATTTAATAGCCAAAATGAAAACAACCCAAATGTCCATCAACTGATGAAAAGATAATTTGTGACTTATCTATAAAATGGAATATTATTTGTCAATAAAAAGGAATGAAGTACTCTTTTCTATATAACATAAATGGCATATGTTTCTCGCATACTACACGTGTGATCTTTTTGAACTTCAGTTTTCTCTATTAAAATGGGAGTAATAATACTTTCTTCCACATAAGTTATGAGCACAATTACTGAGGAGAAATAGATGCTGAAGTCCTTCATAAAGCACAAGCATTTCTATATCTAGAAGTACATGCTAAATGTTTTAAGTTTAATAGAAAAATACAAGTGATTAACAGAGTACACTTACCTTTTCCTCAGAAAGGGCTTTGATGTACTTTTTACCCACTTTTTTCTTCATTGTCCAGGAAATGCCTCTCATTTTTTTGCCTAAACCTCCTCCATGATTTGAATTTTTATTTTTTTCTCCACTTTCATTTATAGGTTCCCCCTCATGCACCTAGTTATAATTGTTTGCAAAAGACAAGATAATAAGCAATAAAAAGCATTTTTCTGAAATTACTATATAACACAACATAAGAAAATGTGACAGTATAATTAATATATTTTATAATGTAATATACACCTCCAATCGGCCCCCCCAAACCCAATCGGAGGCAGGGCCCGCTGGCCAACCACCTGTGGCCCCTCGCCCCAGTTGGCCCAGCCCTGATCAGGCCCTGATCGGGGCGGGCTGGCCGGCCAACCTTCCGCTGTCACCTCCTCCCGACAAGCCTGGCCTCGATCTGCCTATTGGGGCCAGGCCAGCCGGACCCCACCCGTGCACGAATTCATGCACTGGGCAGCTAGTGTATCTATAATTACATATGTAAAAATATATTACATTGTAGTATTTGCAATTATGTAAATGTTGATAGAAAATATAGCTATATACAAGTTTACCTATAAGCATATATATATAAATATATAGATGTATAAAAGGGGATATGTATAATATATATGTATAAAAGGGTATATATTATACACACATGCGTGTATAGAACTAATAGAGATTTATGAAGTCATAAAAGGTGTCACTTTATTTTCATTTTTTGTCTAGAATATCCATCATTGAAATTAACATATTTTAAAATATTATAGATAGATGTATATGAGAATCTAGAAAGTATTTTGAGAAATTATATCCAATAAAGGGATCTAATTCTACATAGAAAACAAAGAATACAGATACACTAGTTTGAATGAATAATTAAGAAGTGAATAAAACCTGAAACTGATTGCTTTAAAACAAATGTATCACATGCAGTAACATAGGAAGCTTTTCTTAAGCTACATTTAAAATGTTCATGATTTGCGCCGAAACCGGTTTGGCTCAGTGGATAGAGCGTCGGCCTGCAGACTGAAAGGTCCCAGGTTCGATTCTGGTCAAGGGCATGTACCTGGGTTGCGGGCCCATCCCCAGTGGGGAGTGTGCAGGAGGCAGCTGATCGATGTTTCTCTCTCATCGATGTTTCTAATTCTCTATCTCTCTCCCTTCCTCTCTGTAAAAAATCAATAAAATATATTTTAAAAAAATAAAGTGTTCATGATTTGCAAATGCGTATGGAATGGTCACCTCTGAGACATTTCAGTGCCGATGGCAGAAGTGTGAGAGTGTAATTGAGTAGCCATATGCTTTCCTTAACAAATTTACTATTAAGCTATTTAACCATCTCTTAAATTAAAGGAATTAGAACTTAAATAAAATTTAAAATATATATTGTTTTATGGTGGAACTGCTCATAAAATTTGGGACTGTCTGAGTCACATTAGTGCCTAGCATCATGCTGGGAGTAAAGAACTACCCAAAAAGCCTAACCGACCATTGGGAAGACAGAACATGAATTTAAGAAGAGAATTATAACTTAATGTAATAATGTTTGTTTATCACCAAAAACATGGAAGGCTATGTTTAAACATATTTGTGTTTTACTATACTTTACAAAAGTGATGTTGGCTTTATAATGTTTGTGTGTTTGCATAATATGCATAAAAACATAATAAATACCTCAGTAGAATCATCTGGTTTTGATACAGAATTATTCCGAAAACGATCGAAGCTCCCGAAGCTGCTGCTGCGCTAGAAAATAGAAAATGAAGGAAAAGGAAAGGAAGTTTAGGATTTGTGACTTTCACTGATAAAAGGGCAAAATATATTATGGTTTGATAAGCATCAGTTATATACTTGAAACTGGTATAATGTTATTAACCAATAAGTTCAATAAAAAGGAAAAAATTATCTCTGGAATAAGGAGATTGAATGTATGACTATTATTATAATTGTAGTTGTACATTTGACCAATTATCTTCATAGGTTTTATGTTATAGTGGTACACACCTTGGAGAAAATGTGTTAATTTTTTATTTTATAGTGTTAATTTTGCTCATATGAATGGCATGTATTACTAAGCCACCAAACAACTAATAAACAACAAAACAAAGAACGCATCTGAGTAGATACAACATTATGCTTCATGAAAGCAAAATGAAAATAAGTACAAATACATTTTCCACTTCTAACTCTTGCTAAGTTTAAATTCGCTACTTGATGTCAGAAAGAGAAAGCATACACATAGACCTATAAATAAATTGAAAACTGCACTTAGTTATGCACAGCCTAAGGTTTGAAATAAACCTGAATTTTCCCACATTTAACATGGAATTACAATGAGACCTTAAGTCAATTTCATTCACTGGCTGTGAGAAAAAACTCAATATGTTAATAAAAGACTTGTTCCCTTGGCTACTTTTTGTCCTGTGAAGATAAATGTTTATTCTTATGCAACTCAGTCTAGGCAGGTAACTATAAATAGTTTCTGATATTCTCCTAAACATATTTACAAAAATCTTTAGTCATTGAGTCAAAAAATTGATATTTCCTCACTCTGTTTAATTTTGTACATTGTTTGAGAAGGTAGATATTTAATACTATGTCCTTAGATATCCACAAATCCTAAGAACATGTTCTGTCTTAAGAACTCCATCTCATTTCAAGCTTATATTCTCAAAATAAGCTGGTGGTACCAAAACATAATCTGGTGACTAGAAAAGTTAATAATGGGAACCAGTAACCTAGAAAACCTTATCCTTTCAGATGTCACAGCCCACTTTAGTTCAAGTGAGCATCACAGACTTTTAGTCCTTACAAGCACTCTTATACTCATCTCTCTCTAATAGTTATCTTTAAAACTCTTTGTTTCCATTTTAAATGAGCTGAAATAAAAAGATCCTGACATGTGGCAAGGGGTTAGCCCTTTTGCTGACTTGCCCCCAAAAAAACACCCCTGCTTGGAGCCCTTCAGCTTCTGGCAGGAGGAGAGGAAAAAAGGGCTGAAACTGAGAACCACACTGGAAAATACAGTCTTCTAATGCAGAGCTTACTAACCTAGAGTGACTTCCCAAAGCATTAATCACTCCAGCGTGCCTAGTAAGTGTTTCCACCAGGCTATCATGGTCCAGAGATCAGAAAAGGGGATTGATGTAATGTTGTACAGCTTATAAGCTATTTCAACACAGGGAAATCTGTTACTCTTTTATATACTTGAAACATTTGTATGCATTATTGGAGCCTATGCTTAGGGTACATTTGTAGCCTACATCCAGCCTGCATCCTGCCTATTAAATGTTAATGAGGGTTACAGCATGGTTTCCACCATGGATAATGGGGTTATGTGGCCCAAGAGGGTACAGAATAGGCTCACTTCAGCATTTCTCTACACTATCTTCTGCCATTAAGTAATCAATAGTCACCACCTTTTAAAATTAATCCCCCCTCATTATATCAATAAAAAGAAGCAGGTTTAGGAGTAGAGGTTTAAGAAAGCTTCAGGACTATTACTTTGGATGTGTCAGTCATCTTATTATGATTCACTAAACAGTTTTAAGCGAGAGAAGTATAATAGCAATTCATGCTAAGATATCCTTAAGAAGCAAATCTACGTATTTAAAATGACATTTTTAAAATTTTATTATTCGATAAGTCTGAAAGTTGGTGACTTTATGAGATGGTTTCCTGATGTATAGGTTATGGTTTATAATAAAAAGGGCTAATATCTACATTGAGTTATGGACAATGCACAAATTATCATTTCCATTCCTGTTAAGTTTCTGATGAAAAGGTGAATCATGTGGAAGCAAGTTGGCTTCATAGATAATAGTCCTTTGTAAATGAGAATGTACTGGAATATTGATAATGGTGCATGGCATAACTGTAATGGATTAGATTTAGGCAATATTATCCTGTGACAGAAGCTCCCATCAAGACAGAACTATCTATCTATCTATCTATCTATCTATCTATCTATCTATCTATAAAAGCCTAAAAAACCATTAAGATGGAA